AATCAATATTTCGTTCACGCGGCAACAGTCGGACACTGGGGATCAGGCCCAGGCTCAGGCCCGATGGTGAGAATCATCAACACTCAGAAAGAGCTTCACAAGTGGTTAAGCTGTACTAAATATTTGAGATAAGAGATCGAGGGGGATATCAGTGGATTCGACACATGCGGATGTTTTTGGGATATTTATCGTCGAGTGGGGATTTGAATCTTCAAAGATTTGGGGGAAGGGGGAGTGTGAGCCTCTGTTCAAATAGTGGGAGAATAAAATGTTCTGGTGTGTGGACAGCCCTAATAGCTGATTTATTTGGCATTAAGGGGAAGCAGATGGCCTTGGGACTTTGAAACTACCCCTAGGAATATTTTTTTTTTGCTCTGCAAATAAATGCATTATTATAAAAAATACCGTATATAATGAAAAATGGATTTTCCACGTATTTAGGGAAAGTGGAAATTTAACACGATGAATGTTGTTAAAAAAAATTTTATGCGGATATTGAAAAAAATTCGAAGGATTAACGAAAATTGTGAACTTGAAATTTAGTACAATCGAATGGAACCCCATCTTCAGGTCGAGTGAATTGCCATTAGAGGGTCTCACACCGTTCTGCTATCGTGTCTGATACCCATTTCTCAAGACGAACGTCTCCCCGATAAAGCTGCACCCCGGGGACCGTCCCCAACGAATATTCCACCAGCACCGAGTCTATCGAATGATCTACCCGAATCTCCAATGATAGATCGTTATTTTATCTCCGACTGATCCCCCGGATTCGATATCTCCGCAATTTTTTTTTTTGTCAAAAGGTAGAATGTACGATGAATACTCAATTAATCCGAGTACTCCACTAATTACCATTAACGTGAGTGGTTCACTCTGTTTCACCTCGTTACGGTGAATAAAAATTGTTGTACGATGTATTTTCATGACTGTAACCACCCATCGGCGGTTGCCACCCGCAATTTCATAGTAATTTCAGTAATTACTGGGCCTAGCCTCTAAACAACTCTCATTACGGGTATCCGTACTGTTGTCCTGTGTAACATGGCCAGTCACCATTTTCGTGGGCATTTGGTTTTGGCTCTGGTCATGGATAAAATAAGCGGAACAATTTCCAACGGTTTACAGTCAGTGGACAGTGCAAACATATACGCGCATGGTAGATTAAAAATATTCGTCCACGAAATGGTGACATTCTGGGTTTTCACACCAGCCATATTTCATGGGTTTGAGGTGCTGTGCGGCTCGGTAATAAAAAAAAAATTTTTTCTTTCATAGATTTTCGGGTATTGCGTATGACAAACGCACAGAAATGATTTATTCAAAAAAAATGAAGTACGTGTAATGAAAAAATCATTCACGTAATTTCTCGTGAATTATTTTCCCCCTTTCCCTTCTCCTCCTTTTATGATGAGAAATCACTGTAATAATCGATATTAATTAATTTATCATTTATTCTTGCAGACGAATTCTTTGGAGTAATTATAAATCCTTATTTTTAAAATGCATGTTCGTTCAGCCCCAGCATCAGGTGCTCATCGTAAGAATGTACAGCGTGTAAATAAAATAAATGAAAAATCCATATTCAGTTGAAAATTCATCCCACCTCAACCCAGAATATTAATATTGTGATAAAGAATTCAGACACGTTGAAAAATCACTAGCTCGAGCCACTCCACGACACGTTGAATTCCATAACTCAACAGAGATAAAGATTGACTTGTTTTGAGATTTAACAGCGAAATAATCCGGCAGCCAGTCAAAACGTTGAATAGTATCACTTGATGCCTCTCCTTGAGGCGTGGAAGCTCCATTTTTCCCCATCACCGAGGCGAGAAAAGCTGAGCGCATTATCGATCCTCCACCAGAGGATACTCGTTATTTCTTTTGTATCAATTCCCTTTCCACTTTTCATTATTATATTGAGGGCCCCGCGGTGATGTACGACTTGGAAACCCCTAGGATTTTCGCCTCTCACCTACAAATGCATTCGCCGTTCATATACCCCCGTCAAAAGATATTGTCAACGCCTCGACGCCCACCGAATTTTTATCCCCAGGCGTCTAGCTATACACGTACCAATCACGATGATAAAAAAAACGAGAGAGAGAGAAGCTAGAGTAAAAAATAAAAATTGAGGAGAAATGAAACTCTGTTTTACCCTTTTCTCGTCCTGCTGGCAGCAACAAACGGGCCAATGTCTCTTGGCAAAAGGCTGCACGCCAAATGCTTTGGTATTTCCACATCATGTATTCGGAAATATTTTTGTGCCTCTGTCTGGGATTTTAAATGAACTCAAAGGCCAGCACCAATTAGATGAAAAACACTACTTCAAACGCTCACTCTCATATTTTACCTGGCAAATATTTTTCCCTCATTCCCATTTCGTGTCCCCCACGATAGCCAATTATCATAAATGAGAAAATGAAGAATGAGGCATTTTATTTTATTCCCGAGATTTTATGTGGAAGAGGTGGGGGATTATATCAGATTTCTTTGAACACGGTGAGGCTCTGGCCACGTAAACTACCGCCAATTATCGACTTCCACCAAAATTATGGAGTTCAACTATATTTTTCCTCTCAATTTTCGTTTTCTGCGGATCAATATGAGAAAATCCGACAACTTGTTATTGTTTGCAGCACTTGACAGGAGGATGCGATATAAAAATGACTTGATGTCTTGCGAGAGAAATTTGATAGAGATGAGAGTGCAATTGATTTTAAGAGTTTCCCCTTGTACTGCCACGCATTCAAGACGAAACACTCGCGTGCTCTCTCAACCGAAAACGCTCGTATAAATCTCAGAAAAATAGCCGAGAGCCCTACATACTCTAGTCACATACAATAAAAACAAATAAAAGTTCTCCATTGTTTGACGAAATTTGGATTCCCCTGTGCGCAATCCGATCAGCCGTGAAAAATGCGCGTTTCACGCTGAATGATCTCATCATTGTTTTCCCAATATTCTCACAAATACAATTCCCATCTATTCATCACCGACAATCAAAACGAAAAAAAAAAAAAAAGAAAAACAGTCCAAATATTTCTCTATTTTTCAACCCCAAACAAAAGAATAAAAGTAAAAAAATAAATATCGTTTATTGAGCCGGGGGCTGTACGTAATTCACCAGAATAACCGCATCAATTCCCTGAATACAACGACCTGGGATTAACTGTAGATGCGATATCCATCCCGAAAAGCGCGATGGCGCTTGGTAAAACGATTCTGCGGTAAAATAATTGTTTTTGAAACGTTGTAACTGACGGTGTCCAACCGACGTAGGGGGTTTTCGATGCGGCCGTTGTGAGGGCAGAGGGCAAATGTGTGGGAATGGAATTGTTGAGGTGAGACACCGGGAGTTCCCGAGTTTTCGAAATCGCGCTTCTCTCGTGGTTTTGCCAGTTGAGTTTCCAGTCGATTTTCATTCTATCCCTCGCGTCCATTCTGTTCTCCATAAGCAACCCCCCACCCACTACATTCCTCGCCTATGGATATACCCCTCCCCCCCCCCTCCCTCCCCCCGCCCCACGCGATCCATCACCCATAACATCGAGTTCAACGCAACCGAGCCGTAAAAATAAAAGTGAACAAGTTGAAACAAAAAGAGGGCAAAAAATTCAAACAAGAAAAATAAATAAAAACGAAGAGGCAAGTGTGCAAAACAGAAAAAAAAAAATATATATGCAAATTCCTGTTACGAGTCGTTGAAAAGTTTGGAATAATAAATTTCAGGAGAGTAGAAAATGGCGTGGGAGAGAGGCGTGGTAGAAGTACTCGACGAGAAGCTTCATTGGAACAACGAAACGGTACGGACATACGCATAAATAGAGTTGGATTGGAATTCACGGATAGAGGGGAGATAAAATGAATGCTCTGGTGCGCTATGGGAGTGGAAAACTCTGTGGATGGAATTTTCTTTTATTTCTCTCTCAATTTGATCTTTTTTTTTTTTTGTTCAAACTCGGGCCATTTTCCGGGGATGCTGGGGCACGCTAAATGGCGATTGTTTTGGTTTCATGTGTAGCCCAAAGTCTTGTTCGTGTGTTTTATTTCAATGACACTTGATGTTCATGTCGCGGTAATGGGTAATGTGCAATGGAAGGAGGAAATTAATTGCTCCGGAGAGGGAGGCGCGGTGGAAAAATTGAGATTGTTGGCACGGGATTTATATCTTGGAAAGTTTAGTGAGAAAATACATGGGGCTTTTATCTAATAAAGTTTAAGAGCAAACGAAAGTGTCGCTGTGTTGAGGTTAAGATAAATGCATTACCGCAATTTACGCGGTTTCGTAGGTCTCCCGGTTGATACGAAGAAAATTTGAAAGATAAATAAATCCGAGTTGGTGAGAGTTTGGAGGGGATTCGTTGCTGGAAATTTTTGAATGGGGGTTTATAACTTTTACGAGCGTTTAGTCTCGTTAGAATTTATTTTAGTATTCATAGTAAAACCATTAGTGGGTACATAAATGAAGAGTAATTATTATAAATGGTAATTAATGATGGTATTCTACAAAACATTGACGAATATTGTGAGATGTTGCGTTTTGATGGATTATAATAAATATTTCATTTTAGTTGGGCACATTCTTGGAAATATTTATAGATGTGATAGATGTTTATAAGTGTTCATCGGCGTCTAAACTCAATTTGACATTCCCCGTAATTAACACCGATAATTCGATGGCACAATTGCCACAGACTTCAAACAGTTATGGACATTCACAACTTTTCACCTCTGCCATTCGTTCCACTGAACACTCCACGGAGATTATGAATATTCACATGCGCTTTCCGCGTTGATGAATTTAAAATTTAAACGTGTATGACTCGTGAATCATGCATACCACACAATTTTTGGTTAATTGCAACTCCAGTAAACCGAAATAGTCATAATTTTATATGCATTTTGTCACGGTGAAAAATTGAATACGCGGGGATTTCCCGTTGGAGCTTTAATTGAACGAGTTTTCAGGGATAAACTGGGCGGTAAATATTTACCTCCTTTTGGTGAGTCCGTTGAGCCATACTGCCGTACACCTGCAAAACGAAAAAAAGAAAAAACAATTAATTGACGAGTTAATGAACTTCTTGCGACAAAGATTTTACTATAATAGAAAGTCATTAACTCTCAAAATTCAATTCCTGTGAATATTTTTTGAGTGAAATTTCCGGTGCACGGTGAACCTAGAATAGTGAAATCTATTATCAGGAAATATAACGATGCAATGAACAATATATAGTGGACGGAAATTATTGGAAATCCAAAACACCGAGCATTCGTAAATATTTTCAATTTCCGTAATGTGTCGTGTAGAGTGGGAGACACGTATACGGTAAGAGAATATAATTTGGGAGGCACAGAGAGAGGAACGTACGTATTCTCCGAGGGAAAGACACCCATCTTCAATTTCAACGATGGTATATATTCACGTATTGGTACAGCGTCGTGAGACGCCTCGAGCATGACTTCGAATATGAAACCCATCTTGAGGGGATTCACTGCCGTACATATCATTTCACCGTAGAACAGGATTTGCTCTTTAGGTGTGGAATCTATCACGATAAAAATTGTACCGAGTATGAGGGATATTTGCATAAAAGTCAAATCTCAAGCTCTCGCGCTGTGTCCCTCAGGTCATATCCCGTCAAATATCCGATAATAAAAGGACTCGTGATTTTTTTCTTTTTTCATCAAACATCCTTCACCCTCAAATAAATGGAAAAAAGGAATTTCTAGAACCACCGGCTATATCCTATTCACCATTACCACGTCCAAATATATTTCCATAACACCAAATTAATTAAAAGAAAAATGATAAAATGACGTGATGATTTTTTTTTAAATAATTCATTCATTTACTTTTCGCGTTTCAGATTTATTTCACTCGATTCCTATAAAACCACCGGAAAACGATTGGAATTATTCCGTAATTTTGCCTGAGTATTTATACCCTCGTAAATAGTCAAAAAAATGGGGTGTAAATTGAGAATAACATTTGGTTAATTCGGTATATTTTGCGAATTTACGACCTTTGAATATTTCATCGGCATTTCGATCCCCTGAACATCATGAGAATGTAAAAAGCCATCGAAAATCGCACCTGAATGCATAAGGAGGCGTTATAATGCAAAACGTAAGACTGAAGAAGCCTCTTCAGCCAAATTATTATGTTTGGAGGAAGCTGGAAGGCTTCCAGACGAGGGGTTACCATGCCTACCAAGTTCTTTCCAGGGGAGACAACGTGCTACATACAGGCGTTGAAACCACCACGAAAATGTTCCAACTTTTCGAACATAACGGGAAAAGTTGATGGGTAAGAGGGGCCCCAATAGCGAAATAAACGGCGAACGAGTTAAAAGCCGGATGCTACTTTTCTCTCGAGTTATCGATTTCTCCTATCTCCACTCCAACCAAGAATAAATTCTATATTTAATGAGATATCGAAGAAACACCGGGGAATGGCCAATCATTGAGGCAATGGAATTACAAGCCAATTGAATCTCAATTAAAGTCCAACTGCACCGAGTAGCTCTCACTGCAAACGCTATTTAATGTATTGCCTCTTCAGACTCGAAAAAATGACGCGAAATAATTAAAACAGTTCTTTCCCTGGTGTATACCGAGTTATGGGCCATTTGCTAACAGTTGAAAATAGAAATTGCAAGAAACTTTGGAAGTCGTTTTCAATTTCAAGCTCGCTTAACTATATCCGATTGTGCAAGAACTAACATGACTTTTTACCCCACCGAGTAAACGCAAGAACTTTCGGTCTTTGCTCGGCTACTCCTGGGTGAACAGCTGGAGTGAATGGAGAGAATATTGAATCTTCATGGGATTATAGATCTATGATTAAGAGTATCCAAGAGCTTTCGTTAGTTCTTCCGAAGCATTACAAAATTTCCATTTAATTTTAATTTTATCCCTGAGTTCAGGTAATGGAAATATATCTCTAAAAAATTCTCCACAGCCAACAGCGGACAACAGAGGGCTTTCGCAATCTAAATCTCCTTTCGAGATTGCCCTAGTCTCCTAAATGAATTTGATCATACATCCGCTAACTCAGGGACTCTTAATCCACATCAAGATAACTGACTTCTACCATCACACTGGGAAACGTAATTAACTATCTCCCCTTGTGCTCGCAAAGTAACCATGCGTGTTGCATAATCAGCTAATCGTCTAAAACAGATCATCACAGCATGAACTAGTCCAAAAGCAGCGAAAACACAAGATGAAAATTATTTTTTCAACGACAATCTCACAAAATCTGAATTATCATTTCGTTTCTGCCTTTCTGGATTTTTTGTTTAAACTAAACAGTAAATTTATTATTATCTTAAATTACCACTGGCCAGTAATAAATAGTAATGAACACACCATCGATGATGAAATGAGAACTGTCGACTGCATTGACCGATAGCACAGACCAATGACCAATGTGAGTGATTGTATGATGGCGGCAATATCAGTTCACTCCACATCATTAATACCTGGGCTTGCAGGACAAGCAGTGATATCGCAGTACCAACCAACGTCAATAACCATCAGGCCTGAATTTCGATTAGTAAGACCCCGGTATTAACGCTACGTCGATGTTTATTAGGTATCAATATTGGGGAATTAATGTCAATAGTCATTATACATTATTTCCTTCAATGAAAATGTTCACATTGCGTGGAGATGTGTATTACCGATTGGGGTTTCCATTCGCTTGTTAACAAGCAGTTTCTCGTTCCCTTAATAATTTATATAATCTATATGGATTCATACACATACGTACATATTTATTTTTTGGGTTTTTAATGGAAGACATGGATTAAAATTTCCTACAACCACATTTCCCTCCGGAATTACGGAAAAGACACGTAACTTTTATTGAATATTGCTCTTCGTGTACGTTTTTTATGTTCTAACGTAATGAGTGTGTACCCATCGCCCAATCCTGAATCATAAAATTACCCGTAAATTTCGCGTAAATGGACTATATAATTAATGTATGAAAAAGGTAGAATTCAAATTTCGCGAATGAGTGGTCAGTAGGAAATTGTAGCCCACCGAATGATGAAACGAATGAGGGGTCACGCCGATAATTCAATTTAAAAAAAAACCCGGAAAATCGTTAATCATCGAAGCTTAACCCTGTTACATAGCCGATGAATGAACCAATAGCATTTGGTTGCGGGGAGCTGAGAGGGGAGGTAAAAATTTCCGACAACATGGAAAGTAATACATTGTCGAAATATCAGTGCCCGGATAGAAAGGGTAATACAGTGGCATTGTCGAAGCATACGTGACACACGGTCGTTACTCCATTGAAGCCGTGAATGTGCGCACGTGTGGAGAGTTTCCCACACAGGTATATGTATATCGATGCTCGAAAATTGGAGAAACAAGAGAAGCAAAGTGGTGAAACTAGAAGGGATGGAGGGGGTATGGAAGCTGGAGCTCTCGATTAATGCAAATGTCTAACCTATTGGAGGATACAGCTAACCAACGCTGGAGAATGTCCAGAATCGGAATGGTGGACAAAGGGGATTCGCGGACCAAGTGAGCAGACTAGGTCCACTCCGAATTAACCGCTGGCCAATGGCCCCATCCTCTTCACCAACCCTATACCAGTGTCTCTCTCACTTGTACTATCCTCGTCATCCTCGTGCGTTCGATGCCAACCCCGTTCGTACAGTTAGGGTGCACCCCAACGACCGCAACGCTTCAATTTCAAATGCTAATCAGTTCGTCCAGCTCTCGTACCAACAGTTTAATGTCTATACACGTACTCGTCCTTTCATTCTCCATTACATGGGGGAAATGTCTTCAGTCAAAAGGCTCGCTACCACCGTCAGGAATATCTATCAGTCCCAATCCCACCGTCACCTCTTCCCCACGTATCAACGAATTTTAATGGATTTTAACAGGTTTTAACGGATGATAATGAGCTGGACGTGTTACCCCGACGTGGAGTTATCAATGCTCACTACCATCTTGGATTATATTCATCCGGCGTTGATTAATCGGATATTAAAAAAAATTTTGTCATTAATGAGGTCTGATTAAAAAAAAGATCCTTTGAGGATCAGGAAAATCCGACAAAGCCGCTTTCAATTGAATGAAGAACATTCCACCCGCCGGAATACTTTCATAAAATGCTTCCTCGGGAAAAAGAATGGTATGGTAATTGAATTAAATTTGCCTCTCACTCGAGTGTACCTCTTGCTCCATCCAGAGCTTTCATTATTATATCTGTCGACTGTTCAACAATAAGTATAACGCGCGATGAGCGTTTTGCATTGAATTTTATTCAATCCCTTCGGCTTATTAGCGTTATTTTCATGATTATGAATTGAGAAGGCGCCACGAAAAGGATAAGCCCCAGGGTGAGGATGTAAGTGAAATTGTTCCCTCAATGAGATTGCTCGATATTAATTTCCGAAACTATGCAAATCCCCTCTTTGGCCGAGAATTTAATAACTAAGCACGGAAAATTTTGAGGGCAACGAAAGGATCCCATCAAATTTTTCCTCAATTCCATATTGCAATGTCAGCCATTTTGCCCATCGAAATATCCCGCATAATCCCTCCAAGCAATACCAAAATTATTATTCGAATACCAAAAACAGGATACACCTCTCAAATAAATGAATCCTCTATCCACAAGGTGTGGCAATCCCCTGCAAACCCCATATTATCAATAATATATAAATACATTCATCAAAATAATCTCATTACAAATTACAGTAATTACCCAATGTTTAATTACCAACGATGAGATGAGTGCCGCAAGTTGGAGCAATCGGAAGGCATTGAAATATCGAAATTAGAGAGGTTTCTTACTCAAACAATATGTATGAGCTACGAGAGTACATACCATTTACATGGGATGTGACATGGATGGACCAACATGCAAGGTGCATGTGATACGTGAAATGAAGGAGCCGAATTCACCGAGGCGCATCTGTACAACTCCCAGTGGCGTGACTCCACCAAGTCCAAGAGCCCGGAACCTGTAACCTATACCTTAACCTCGGTAAACCCCTGC